ACTTCTATTACCAGTGGTTTTTATTGAGTCCTCCAAACCTGACTCCCCTCCCAAAGTTAATTAAAGATACAGATGGTGGGGTTAAAGTGTCTCCAAATCAAGACAAATATGAACCTATTCCCACTTTCTTACACAGTAGTATACTGGATCTTTTTTTTTTTAAATAGCATGCTGTAATGGTCTATTAACTCATTCATCTGCAGTCCTTGAGCTAAAGAGAGGCAAGTGGGGGGAGGGGGGTTACCCCTAAAGATGATTCAGGTTGTTAATTTATATCAGGTCTTTTTTGGGCTGCAAAGTGGGAGGCAGGAGAAAACAGGATCTCAGTGGAAGGAAGTAGAGCATGGACCTCCAACAGATGGGAAAACCAGTGTTTGTTTCACGTGTAAAGAAACGTATAAAATGGCAGCTCCAGAGCCTGGGGCTATATGAACATCTTATTCGGGGATTCATGACTTTGAAAGCCCGCTCTATTTCATCACGAGAAAAGAATGGAAAGGAGGCATAGTTTCTCTGGATGCTTTCATGAAAAAGATGTTTAGTGTTCCTGGAGTGTTTGAAACCAAAGGCAAAGTAAGACACATTGTGGGAAAGGAAGGGGAAATTGTTTTGGTTTTGGTTTAACTGACCTAAGATCAGGAATGTTTGGAAAAGGCAAAAGACTTCCAAGCTCTTGGAAGCCCACAGTAGCCCCATCTTCTAGAATCTAATTCTGAGCTATGTTACTGAGGGGAATATAAAGATTGACTTGGCTACTCTCTTGCACTGAAATGGCTGTAATGAATGACTGGACATTAAGGAAGCTTAGGGGAAGAAGAGGATAAAGGACCTTCTAGTGGGTGAGAGGAATTTGATTTGGGGAGGGAAAAGATGGAAATGGGATGGGATGAAATAGATGTCACAGCACAAGAAGTATACTGCAATGAAAAGTTTTCTAAAGGACCACTGAATCTCTCTTAATGATGTTTTCTGAATTGACAAATGCCTGAGATGCTTGCAACAGCATGGCTAGTTAACTGGAGGGTTGAAATTCTTAGGAACTGATATGAGGGTAGAGAAGTTTTGAAAGATGTCCTTTCTTTGATCTAAATAATGCCTATACTGAGGGAGCATTGCCTGCTACAGGATTAAAAGACTTTATCATCGTGGTCATCTTCACACCACTCAGTGTCATGGTAAGAAAAAAAAAAAAGAGGGCAGTATTCTTGGTACCTAAGGAGACTAACATCATCTTACTGTGTGAATGGCTGGGGTTTTTTTTCTTTTTGTTTTGTTAATAGTATGATTTTTTCTGTGATCTCTATCGCCTGTCAAAGACACCTTAAAAGGACCAAAATACCAAAAGAATTCTGTACAGGAATATAACTTTTTCTCCCATCTTTCAGCTTTGATACTAGAATATTTGAAGATCCCATTTACTTAAATGTACTGAGAACACATCAGTTTTTTTTATTACTTGAAGTAAAACAGTTTCCCATCACACTGTAAATTATCTTTACCTGGTTTTTCATATCGGGTAGTCATGAAGTAAGGCATTCATCACGGCCCCATAAGGTTTTAGAATTAAAAATTAAACCTGAGTTTCGGTGCATTCAAAATTATTTTATAAATGTCATTTACTGTTAAGGTAGAATCTGGACATGTAGAACTTAATGCTTAAAATGAGAAACTACCTCCTCAGTCCTGTCCTTTCAATAGAAGAACATCTGGTAAGACTGTGATGGATGAACCTTCATCTCTATGCTTTTGAAAGAACCTTAATGAAATTCAAAATCAGATATTATAGCTACTTCTGTAGGCAGCACCAATAGTCACACTAAGCAGTTTTCTCAGAAAATCTTTGGCAGTGCAGAGTCTCTGTTGTGGTGTCTTGCTACCCAATTAGAGCTGTCAAGCAGGACAGCAGCATGAATGGGGGTGTGTACACACACACACACACACACACAGAGCTTGGTACAAAGGGCCAACAAAGAATCTTTTCCCTGTAAGGCACAGTCTTATCTAAATACAAGCCCCCTAACTAGCTTTTCTACAGTGTTGGGTTTTTGATTTGTTTTGTTTTCCAAACCTCTCACATCTCAAATTCACTGTTTGTTCATTTAAATTAATATTAGAAGGAAGGAACACTCTGGCAAACAACATCCTGACGGCAGGGTGGGCCTTATTTCAAACAAACCTGCTTACACCAAGGCCTCACTGCCATTAATGGCATGGAATTACTACTGTCTTATATTTCTAGGAAAAGTTATTGTTAATAACAGGAAATTGCCATAGTGGGGAAAAACCTTCTGAGTTTCTACCTTTATAATCTGAATTCATCTGTGCCGCAAATACACACACAAAAGATCTGTGTTGTGGGTTTTTCTTCACCACAAACACTTCATTCTGAGCCACCTGAATAGAATCAGTAAAGAATTTGTCAAAACTAGGAGGAATCCAGTAGTTCTTGCCTTTTTCTTGTCACTTTCCCCTAATACTTATTGTGTGGCTTTGGGAATACTCATTTCTTGGGCAACTCCCACCTCTTGATCTTGAAAACAGAAAGAATAACTATGACCTAACTGCAGGTCCTGGGAAGATTTGTTTGCCTTTGACAACAAGATTTCAATCTTAGACATACCTTGTCAATGTTCCTTCAAGATGCAGCAGAAATTTAGAAAGCCACTTGTCCGCAACGAGCAGTACTAGCTGTCTTTCACTTGAGGCCAAATTGTCTTTTACCAACATTATAGAAAAGCAAACCAAAATGAACAAATGATGGAACATTCGACTAAATGATCCACCCAGATCTAGAAAATTAAAATCTAGAGGGGAAAGAGATTTTAAATGGCATTTCTGAGCCTCATGCTCCAACGTAGGACTGCTAAGCCTATTTTGTTCTGGGGTATGACGTGTCTGTCCTTCCAGGGAGCACATTAGAGACCAGTTCCTACCATTTAACAATTAAGTCTGAAGTGCTGAGCCTGCTCAAGCAGTCACACATTCATCAGCGACCCAGGAGGGAAGATTTTCATTCAGGGGATTAGAAAATGGAAAAGAAGTTCCATAAATTCCAGCTGAGAAGGGGGTGTTTGAAAATCTTGATGGAAAAGGAGCCACGGTATGCGTGGCCCTATGTGGAGAGGGCATTATGAAGCCTACCCCCATGACCTTGATTCCTGTGTGTGGTAAAAACAAAGTTTGTTGTTGTTGCTTCAAGTGAAAGACAGCTGTGTGCTGAAAACCCTTGCCAACTCTGCTGTTACCAGGGCAGCATCACAGCAGCCTTCTGTTTCTGAGACATGCCAGATGCTGCCTCTAAAGATATTCACACACCTAGAAAACTCCTATCATCTTGGCATAAATACTTGAAAGGATATTCAAGCGTTCCTCCTCTTGAAACTGGCTGTTATCATCTCCCACCATTTTAGGGTACATTAGGAACCAATTCTGAATCCAGGCCGATATGTTAACACCAATGCAACAGACCCATAGTGAACACAGGATTCCTGGTCTCAAAGGAAGGAGGTGGCTTTCAGGAGGTGGTGCACCTTGTTCTTATAAAATAAACAGTAGTACCAAAATTTAGGGCATTTATCCTAATTGCCATCATCCTCACACTCACTCCCTTCCCAGCTGAATAAAAAGAGTACCAATAATGACTCCTTTGGAAGACCCAGACTTAGCTTTCTCTCTTGGAGAAGCAGGTCGTGGCATTTTGATATGAAATTGGTATACAATTGCAGTTAAGGGAATAATGGCTTCCCTAGGGTCTTCTTGAAGATAAATACAGGCAGGGTACAGGTGACTCACTCGAGCCTTGGCGAGCCTGAGCGCTCACTGGACCAACAAGACAATTAAGCTTGGATGCATGATAGCCAGAGAGCATCTTGTAAGGAGAAAATGTTTCCATTAAGTTAATGGCAAAAAGCTCTTTAGCTTGGGCCTCAGGCCAGTGAACTATCTATCATTTGAAATAATTTTGAAAATCAGAAAAGGACAACGCCAGGTGCAAAATAAGGCATCAGAGAAATTTCTGACAAGATAAAAGATCTTCAGGGGGAAGGAGAAAGGTTGAAAGTTCCCCCAAGTAGGAAAAAAAAAGGAATATTATGTTAATGATGTTCCAAGTTTTTCCCTTAATGGGAAATTAATATACTCCATCAGATGCTTACTGTGGCCAAGACCTTTGCTGAGTAAATGTTTACTACTCATGTAGTCAAGGAAGACAATCCACATAATCTAGTTAAACACAGATCAGTTTGAATTGACCAGGTTAGTTCGAAGAGAATGCTTTAAGATGTAGCTTTTACTATCTGTTGTGAAATGTGAACCGGCCTGATTTTGGGTCTGAGAGAGTGGAATTCAAGAACCAGGTTACTAGTTTAAAAAGGTTTGTTGTTTTTTTTTTTCCTCTCTAAGCCACACAGTGAATTTGACTTGTTCTCTGTCTGCCTTCTGATAATGAATCTCTTACTAAAGTAAGACAATCACACTTCATGGGTAGCCAACTAGGCCGTCAGTGAGTTTCTCTCTCACTGGCTCGGGCCCAATTTCCCTTGCTAATGTCATGGGCAACTTTCTAATACTGTTAGTCATTAGAATCTACTGGCAAGGGGGTGACAAGAGTAGTGGTTTCAGTGAGAAGTAGCACTGGGCAGTTGAGAGCACCACTCAAATTTTATTAGAATGACTTTCTTTAGGGTGTCGTGGTGGATAGAGCACCCGCCCTGGAGTCAGGATAACCTGAGTTCAAATATGACCTCAGGCACTCACTAGCTGTGTGACTCTGGGCAAGTCACTTAACCCCAAATGCTTAAAAAAAAAAAGACTTTCTTTGCCATCTTCGCCTCACTAGCCTCCCCCCCCAAAAAAAAAGTAACCACTAACTAGAACAAAATACAAAAAAGCCCATTTTTTTGGCACTGAAAATCTAAGCTTGTCTTGGACAATCAAGTGGGATCCTGCAGCCTCTGAGCAGAATTGTTGGCATTGTCTTCTGGCAGTGGTGATTGATAACCTAAAAGTAAATAAACAGTTTATTCAAGTCTCAGAGACTGTAGAGAGGAGGGGGGAAACCCAAGGTCAGTTGTACAAAGCTTTTTTTTTTCCCATTTTAAAAACATTAAAGATTCAAATTTTATCCTGTGACAGTTGAGTTACATATAGCTTGTTGGGTTGACTTCCACAGTTATAAGCTTTGGAGGAACGTGAGAGGAATTTGTTTCCGTTCTGTTAAGTGTTATTTCTCCTGAATTGAAAATGTCATTGTTCAAAATGGGGCTATGTGTCCTTACACAGTTAAAGGAATGGTAAATAACTTGCCTTGTAGACAGCTCTCATTTTTACATTGTTAGAAGTTTTGCCATATTTAAGAAATGATTCAGTGGGAAGGTAATCCAGAATCTACAGCCTATTTCAGATGAAACAGGAAGAACATTAACTCCCTACAAAGATAAACAGTCTTTGGGGGGGGCAGGGTTTTATTAACTAGAAGGTGGGAGAATTTTAGCCTCCAACAACAGCAAAACTTAATAACCCTTTAACAGTATGTTATATTGTACCAGGAGTAAGGGCTTCAGTGCTCTGCATAACATGACTCCCAGGCCTCCTACACAGCTCAGCAGGAAGGCCTGCAATTTGGCACCTCAGAGTCTAACCCTTCCTGCATGGTTTACTGAACATTTCCCATTGCTTCTGCTTAGACTGACTTCTCCAAAGTCCTACAAAATTATTTCCCACCCTATTTTCCCTTTTTCCTTTCTTCCTTCTTGCTTTAGAAGTTTAAAAAAAAATCTACGGTTTGGCTAAACCCCACAGGAGCATAATCTATTATTAGAATTAATATGTTGCAGGTTATGTACCAGGACTGCCTCTCTGCTTTTAACTCTTACGATGTCATAAGGGAAGATGGAGTATATTCTCTGGGGCCTGATCCTAGGCTCTTTCAGTTTCATTCAAGAACTTGGGGTTTGGGGCATTTGGTTTTTTTAAACAGAGTGCAAAAAATCAGGGCAGCATTAGACAAAAATCCTTTTCCAATGTGCCTGGTTGTGCCTTAGTGTCCAGGGAAATACTGTAAACCTGACCTCTGCCTGTGATTTCTATTCTCCTGCTTTTTAACCTAAAGCACTAATGGCACATTTGTGGTCTGGTAGCAGCCCAACTTCAACCAGCAAGTGGCACAATTAAGAGTGGTGAGCCTCAGGCAGGGTATGTAATTGATTTGAGTTGGGGAATTTCAGCTTTGCCTCCACTGTTAAGCCAGGAGTCCTAAGGTTTCTTTCAACCTCTTCATAGCTTCCATCCGGTGCTGTGTGTATAGGGCAGTACTCAACTTTTACCTGATGTCATCAATCTAAAGTCTCTATGGCTGCTTTCTGAACTTATTATTTAATAGTATTTCTAATTCTTACAAATATGAGCTTGGGAGTGAAAATTACAATTCTATTAATTCTCTGATGGGCCTAGAGAATGGAAGGTAAAGAAGTGCTAGAAGAATCTTTTTTTTTTAAGATCCCATTCAGACCTTAAAACAAAAAGTTTTCTTTAAGTTACAGAATGAACATAGGGCAAGACCACACTTGCCGTGGTTTTCAGATCAATATTTCTGTCCAAGTTGTGATGTAAACAGCATTAATTCTGAAACCATAAAAAATTAAGTCTCCTCTTCATTTGTCACCGGGAATGTCATCACCTTCAAAGGGCGGCAATCACCACTGGCAGGTTCAAGCTGGAAAATAAAGCCCTCCATATTGGAGGGCCACCGTATCCATATTGCACAAATGTCACTTCCTTATTGGAAATGTAGTCTTTGCAGATGTGTCCGTTGTGTTTAACTGCTCACTATTTTTTTCTGCTATGCAGAACTGTACAGCAGTTAGTGTCAAGTGAAGTCTCAATACCCCAATTGTGCAAAGTATCGGTAGTGATTCTTCATCCTTCGGGACTGCACACTTCGATGTTGCCATTTACCTGGGGGGGGGGCGAAAAAAGGTGAAAGTTGATAGAGGGAAAAGAATATAGAAAGCACGTAGAAATGTACTAACGTGAAGCCTCTTCAAAATAGACTCGTAAACCTATTTAGCCTTGGAATATTTTAACTCAATCTGTACAACACTCAAAATCTGATGCTAAAAATCTATTCTGAAAAAGTACTGTTTTCATTTTGTGAAAATGTCATGAGAAAACATAGCCTGAAAAGCTGTGTTTGCATGTCGTGGCAGAAGGAAGGGGAAAAAGAATATTGAAAACCTCCGTCGACATTGCTGTGCTTGCTGGCTGCTGCTGATGCCATCTGCATCTGACTAGGACGGGTTTGTTGGCTTGCATGCTCTTTGGATTTTATAGTGGAATTTAAATTTAGATGCCTACTACTTAACCATCTTTATAAGCTGTGTTCATTGGTGGGAAGTAAATCCTTTTTTAAGACTCTTAAAAAAACTGTATCATAGTAATAATGAAGACTCTGTTCAAGCTTCCTGTCATGTTTTTTGGTGGCACTTCAAAAACTGTTTTCACATTAGTGGGAAAGAAGTCACTGGTTCCATTTGTGATGTCTGCCTGTTTCTTACATTACAAACCCTTACAGATGATGGATGTATACCAAGCGTGACACTATTCTAATGTTAGTGAAATTGACCATCCGTGAAATACTCTAATCAAGCCCCAGAAAACAAGGGCCTACAGGACAAATGGAAATGTACAACAGTGACACAGACACACACAAACACACACAGATATATCAGGGAACAGAGATGTAGCCTATAAGATTTCCTCTAGTGGCAGAAATGCAGATTTGTTTGGTCACTAGATCTCTAGATAGAAAGTGTACATTTATATACACATTAGATTTTATGTTAAAACTTGAAAAACAAGCTTTGCTGAACTTCAGGGTCATTTACTCTAAATGATAGATCAGGTGATCTGTACTTGAAGACATATAGGCCAGTGGATACCTTTATGTTTTGTTTTTAAAGCATTAAAAAAAAAAACCACAACCTGGTTGGATCTGATATTTATAACAAAACAGTGGCTACTTCTCAAATATCTCATTCACCCAAATAAGTATAAATAGATTTGTTAAACCCGTAACAATAAGTTAGTTAGAGAAAGGGAAGGGGGAGAGGAGGAGACAGAATGGGAAAGATATTTTGAATTAACATTTATCTTTGCTAAGATAAGAAAAATCTTAGTTTCCTCCTTCCTCCCCCCCCCACCACCACCCCGGTTGGATTCAATGTAAGCACCCAGGCCCTCTATACTCCATAAAAATTTTATGAGCAGTAGTGTAGTTTATTGGATAGAGGGCTGGCCACAAAGCCAGAAAGAGCTGGGTTCAAGGCCCACCTCTGAAACAGACTGTCACTATCACCCCTGGACACACCATTTAACCTCAGAAGTTCTAGAACCTTTGCTGATCTTCATGGGTTGGAGAAGTTTCTCTCCTACAAGTTCCTTATCTTCATAAAATCACATTTCCTGTCCCTCTTCTTATTTCTGTCCCCTGAAAGATGCTGCTTTTTGGCCTTTATCCCAGAGCAGCTAGTTAAGCTAACTACTGGATCAAGGTTATTTTCAAATTTGAAAAAGTACCTATCATTTCCTAGTGAGATTGCCAAACTGGTTTCTGAGGCGAGAGGTTACCATCTCCCAGTCGTACTCAGGATGAAAGCAAGAGTAAAGAAAGAGCTCTGCTCATACCTGAATTTAAGGCCCTGAAGGCTCTGTCAGGACTGACCTCGAGTCTTTATAATTTAAAATTAAGATACCGACACTGAGGTTCTAAATTTAGGTTATCATTCACCACATTAGTTTCCTGTTAAGTCTGACAATGAAGTATTAAAATTTAAGCTGCTATATACTCTGTAGTAAAAACATTTTCTTCTACTTGTCTAGACTTTCATTCCCTGAGCAAAATGCAGGCTTTATTTCTCTCAAAACAGTGATATATAAAGATATTTAGTATGATAAAAGACTGAAAAACTGTTTTAGTGCAATGAATTTCAGGTCTCATCAGGGTTTCTGTATATTGTGATGTTTTCAGAACATGTATAAAAATAGTTTTGGGTTTTTTTTATGTGACATTTATGTGTTCTGTGTCATTCCATTAACACAAAAAATAAATAATTCACAAACTGTTTCTTTCCTCTTTTCAAATTCAAAACTTTTTTTTTGACTTAGCTCAAACTTTCATCATTAGTATCTAAATTCTACAAATGCACCCATTATATTACAGTGTACATTATAACACTGGTCCACTGAGACACTGGTCTCATCAGCTGAAAACTATTTAATCGTGAGTGTATGTAGATATCACCAAAATGTGCTAATGTTTCTCTTTCCCTATGACTTAAAGAGAATAAATTTTAAATTATGCAAGTAAATTCAAAACTAATTGACATCTCACTATATAGGTAAAATCATAAAACCACGTATTAGTTGTATTTGCAACCGTGAAACTCTGGAGTTTGCCCCATAAGTATAGAGGCAACGCAAGACCGTACTTCCTCCCCCTGCTCTGACAGACATTATTAAAATGCTAGCTGTAGCAACAAGACCAGAGAGAGAACTGTGAAGTTGGCAAAGGATAACAAATTAGACCTATTTGCGGACTACATAATGGCTTACTTAGAGAATTCCAGATCATCAGCTCTGAGTCTACAATAGATTTAGTAAAATAGCAGAATAATCCAACAGCAGAGAAGTAATGGACAAGAGAGGAAGAACATTTTCAGACACAACAAGCATTTTTGCAGCCAATGCTTTGATGTGCACAACTGTACCCCTTTTTTTAGGGGGGTGTTTGATTGGATCTCCCTGTCTCCCCTCCCCGGTTGGATAGTTAATGGTTACACTGGATCCAGTCTCACTGCTGATCTGCAGGAAAGCCTTGACCTTTTCTGTTTTCAACTTGGGCCAGTTCACCCCCTCCTTAGGCAGCCTGGTGGCCCCTTAAAACTATTTCATATTGATTAATAGAAAAAATAATCAGTAAAACAATCAAGTAAAGCAATCCAATTTTTGTTAAACCCAAATCTATAAACTAGTAGGAGAAAGACTATTCAACAAGACCTCTGGGGAAATCAGAAAATGGTTTGGGAGAAACTGGATTTTGTCCATCATCTTAACTATGATAAGCTCCAAATAAAAAAAAAAGCTATTTCAGTTAAAATTCTGGCTCTGCTATTTATAGTATAAGGGGTCTTATGCCAATTACCTCTCCAAGCCTCACTTTCCTCAACAAAGTCAGGAGGTTAGACTAGATGATTTCAGTCAAATTTCTAAGGTCAGATCTAAAGATTTCTAGGTCAAATCCCTGTGTATTGCCTAGAGTCTTACTTCAACGTACAAGTCACAAAGTGACTTGAAAGAGATTTATTTTCTTCCTGTTTTCATCCTGAATCAAGCAAAACTGGATGCAGTATTCTCATAACAATACAAAGTCATTCCTCTTTTTAGGAAGATAACTCAGAGGAGATGCTAGTGTACATGGCAAAAGCAATGCAGTTAGAATTAGAAAGGAAAAGTTAACTGGGGAAAATCATTGCAGCAAATTTCTCTAATAAAAGTTCCATATTTGAGATATATAAGGAATGGATACATATGTGTATGAGCTACTTCCAAATGTCAAAGGATATGAATAGGCAATTGACAAAGAAATTCAAGCTATCAACAACCATATGAAGGAATGTTCTAAATCATTAACGATAAAAGAAATGCAAACTAAAGCAAATCTGAAGTTCCATTGGCAATGGTTGGAGGTGTTAGAAGAGGACAAGCACATTTATGCACTGTTAGTAGAGCTGTGAATCCATCTAATTATTCTGTAAAGCAATGTGGAACTATACTCAAAAATCCACTAAACTGTACTAACCCTTTGACCAAGCAATACTGCTAGTAGGCATGTATTCCACAAAGACCAAAGACAAAGGGAACAGACCCACCTATTATACAAAAATACTGATCGCTCTGCATCTAGTTGTAGCAAAGAGCTAGAAATAAAGTGAGTGCCCAGCAAGTGAGGAATGTTTGAACATGAATGTAATGGAATGTTATTCTACTATAAGAAATGATAAATATGAATGATTCAGAGAAGTTGGGGACATATGAACTGGTGCCATGTGAAATGAGTAGATTCAGGAGAAATAGTTACATAATGACTACAACAATGTAAAGGGAACTTAAAAAACTCCAAGAACTCTTATTGAGTATGGTGACCAATCAAGACTTGACAAGATTAATGATGAGCAATGTCTGTTGCCTCCTGGCAGAGAGACGTGGACTAGTCGGTGCATGATGACACATGCCTTTTCTAACATGGCCAATGTATTGATTTGCCTTGACCATACTTAATTGTTGAGAGGAGGGGTAGAGTTGATCAGCTTCGTCGGGTTCCCAATTTTCCCACAACAGGAATTATTTTTCCCTAAAAGACAAAACAAAACAAACCCTACCCTTGAAACCTGACTGATCACCATCTCCCAACAACATGAAAAGTCCCACCCATAAACTAGGACACTGTTGGTGGAATTGTGAATTGACCCAACTAATCAGACTGGATACCCTTTGACCCAGCAATACTACTAACTTAGGTCTGTATCTCAAAGAGATTAAAAAAAATTTTTTTTAAAGAAAAAGAACGTTTATGTACAAAAAAATTTATAGCAGCTCTTTTTGTGGTGGCAAAGAATTGGAAATTGAGGGGATGGGTATCAACTGGGGAATGACTGAAGAAGTTGTGGCATGTGATTGTGATGGAATACTATTGTGTTAGAAGAAATGATGAGCAGGATGCTTTCAGAAAAGCCTGGAAAGACTTACGTGAACTGATGTGAAGTAAAGTGAGCAGAACCAGGAGAACACTACAATTATCAACTGTGAATGACTTAACTATTCTCAGCAATACAGTGATCCAAGATAATTCCAAAGGACTCATGATGAAAAATGCTACCCACCTCCAGAGAAAGAAGTGA